CTGACAATCTTTGAACTCGCACAATATCCTGAAGTACTGAAAAAAGTTATTGAAGAAGTCAATACAGTTTTAGCTGAGAATGATGGCAAGATTACATACGACAATCTAAAAAAAATGGAGTATTTGGAGTTATGTATGAATGGTGAGTAAAAGAAACTCAATTAATTTTACTATTAAAACATTTAAATATCTTTTAGAAACTCTACGTAAATATCCTGGCTTACCATTATTAAATCGTATTTGCACACAAGATTACCAAATTCCTGGCACTGATAAAGTAATCGAAAAGGGTACACCTATTGTTATATCCCTATATGGTATACATCGAGATCCGGAACATTTTCCAGATCCAGAAACTTTTGATCCAGAACGTTTTCTACCAGAAAATCGGAACTATAATCCTAATGCCTATATGCCTTTCGGTGAAGGTCCACGTCATTGTATAGCACAACGTATGGGTAAAATTAATTCAAAATTGAGTGTAGTTAAAATTTTACAAAATTTCAATGTCGAAATAATGCCAAGACAAGATATCGAAATCGATAATCATTCGATTGCGATTATACCAAAAGGTGGAATTAATGTGCGTCTATCGAAAAAGCAAAAAACAAATTAAAGGCTATATATCAATTTTTTAATATTAATATATTAAATTACTACGGTTTTCTTTATGAACATTTATTTCTACTTTAAATAATAAATAAATGTTTTTTGTACTAATTTTTTTTTAAATAAAGTAAAAACTTATTCCATATTTGTAAAATAGGTATGGGTAATTTTAAAAATTTAATAATATTATAAGTTTTAAATGTAATTTTTATTTGTTAATATAATTTTCATTTAATTTTTAAATATTTTTATTTGATTATTTTTTTTATAAATGTGAATTTAAAGTTTTTATTGGAATTAAAATTTTTTTAAATGCAAAAACAAAATATAAAAATATTAAAATTTATATAAAAATATTCAGTTCAAATTAACTGAAAACAAAAAATAAAAAATTAATAAGCAAAAGCAGAAATACAATATATTATTTAAATATAAATATTTTGTTTATATACGTACATTTATATACGTATATATAAAAGAATTAAGAAGATCTGTAAAAAAGTAGTTTCATGAATGACCATTATTATAAATCAGAAAAATTTGACAGTCATACTTATATTGTGATTTGTATAAATGAATGAGTGATATTTCTTATAAATACCTATTTTTTATTTTATTAATTAAAATGAACAAAAATACCTAATTTTACTTGGCAAAAATAAAAAGTGGTTAAAATATATATTTTTATTATAAAATATTTTGAATAATATAAAAAATATTTTTTTATATGTTTTAATATACAAAAATTATTTATCTTATATAAAGAATAAATTCTATTTAGTATGAATTAATTTTATGGGTTCTTTGTTATTTAAATACTCCAATATATTTTTTATCTAATTATTATGATGAAATAAGATGAGATAAACAGAAAGAAAATTGTATGTATTGGGACCCATAAATATATGTAAACATTATTATCTTATTTAAAAATAATTATATAAGTGATTTCTTCTATGAATAAAATAATAGAAATAAATATTATATTAAATAGAAAATATATAAATTGTCATCAAATTGTTTACAATATTCTTGAACAAAAGCATTCGAATAATAACTAAATAAAAGTTTGTTATAAATTTCAAAATCAAATTCTATAATGTTTATTCATTATTTTTAATAAATTATTATATTAAATAAATCAATTATGTAATTATTAATAAAAATAATTTTATTTTATTAATATTTTACACTACTTTTTATATATTTATTAATTTTAAGAAAAAATATCTCTAGCTATGTTAATATAATGAAAAATAAAAACATTTAATAATTAAATAAAACATAAAACATAAATGAAAATAAAATAATCATGAATAAAAAATAAATTATTAAAAGGCCACATAATATATGATTATAACTTATATAACAACTTAGTCCTAACATATATCATCTATTTATTGCGTTCAGTTAATAATGATATGCCACGTAATATATTGATTGTAAAGATTATACCATCGAAGTGCGAAAATTCGGTTCAAATGCGGTATTTAAAACATTCTTTACAAACATGAATGTTAAACAAAGAAAGTCACTAGTGCTGACTTTCTATATTCCGTCTCATAAAGATAGTATGCCTCTTGAAAATAAACACCAAGGGACAGTTTTTCAAAAATTCATCACCAGCGATCAGGTGTGCTGATAACGATGATCTATTAGGCAGGAATATTGGATTTTTAAAACCAAATATGACACTAGTTGGCTTTATCATAATTTTGGGTATATGTATATGTAAAATTTTCACAAACTATTGACCGTCTTTGGTATAAGATTAGAATAAAGTGGCAGTTTTTGGCGTCGAAGTGCACTTCCCACAAATAAAGTATAAGAGTTCATCAAACGACAGTACTGAAAGACCATCAACAAAAAATATAAAGCGTGATTTCATATGGTAAGCGTTAAAAAGCCATGGGTCCCTGACAAGTCTCCAAATTTGAATATGTCTGTAATTTTAAGAGATGACAGCTGTGTTAGATCAGAAACCAAATAGACCTCCAACAATTTTTGTTTCTTGTAACAGAGTACATACCTCTATAGTTTCTAATTTGCACAGCCACAACTACGACATAATAATAGAGAAAACAGTTTCAATTAAAATAGAGCTAAGAGCCATCTAACAATAACATTTATTTTTTCTAACTTTTATACTAACCGAAGAAAAGGAACTCATCCTTTTGAATGTATGTCCTCTATTTTAGGTCAGAATATCCCCTCTTCTATTTTTGAATGTTCTCTCTCTGAGGCCAGAATGTCCTCTCTTTGAGACCAATAAGAGGACACCTTATTGAGGAGATCTCTAAATATAACTTTCATAATATATTTACGACATCTTAACATAAAGTTAAGAAATTTATTTGTAAACTAATTAAACCAAAAAAATTTTGAGACCTAATAATAAAACACAGAAATAAATATAAAAATAATTTTTATCAGCATTGTTTATGTTTATAATATTGATTTGACTAAATATAACGTTTATCAACTTGACTGGAGAGGCCTCCAATCAATTTCATCAAAATTCATATAAAATTGCATTATTCGAACAACCAAATTTTTTTTTTATTTTCAACATTATGTTTATAACAAATGCATAAATATTAGTCACAAATAAAATATTCAAATGTTATTATCAAATAAAATTTTTCGCTTTCATATCTGGAAAAAGAAATATTTCATATACTCTCAGAATGTGTCGACATTTTGAGATTATTTGTTAATGGTCGACTTATATTTGACGTTAAAAATATATGACTAAATTAGAACAAATTAGAACAATTATATTTTATTATAAAAATTTTGAATAAGGATCTCAAAATATTAATAATGACACAAATAATTTAGTTAATTGTTAAATGAAAAATTAATCTTAAGCTTTATATAAGCCTTGGTTTTACTTAAAAACAATAACAATTAGGCAATGTCTTTGTTTTAGAACTGTGTTGTCTGTTATACAATTCCTGAAACTACTCTCAAATACCTTTCATCATGCCAAACACAAATGCCTAAATGGATCATATAAGCTTCATAGTTTATCATATCAGTGGATTTATATAGAGATTAACTTCCTATCTAGAGTTTCTTTGCTGCAGATAACTTATACTAATAAATTTATAACTTATAGCCACGTTGTTAGAGGACTCAGTTAATTTACTGAGTTCAAACATATAATTGTTTGAAGGTGCGTGCTCTGATAATCGAGTCAACATTTTTATTAACAGCACACAAAAAATCATATTTTTAATTTATCTATTTATATTTCTAATATAGAAAAATTATATATACATGGACCATAATTTACAGACTACAGCTTACAACTTTGCACTAAAGTAAACTAGGGGTACTTCCTTGGTGTTTTCATAGATTGCGAAGAAAACTAGGATTATTATTGCATAGACATAATGCAAAGTGTCAGAATGAACTGTGAATACATTATCCCAACAATAATTGTAGCAACGCCTAAAGTAAAGTTTTCCAAAATATATAAACAAATATTAGCGTGCGAAAGAGAGTATGTTCACAAATTTTAGAACATATAAATAACAGGTAAGAAATATTTTAAAACAGTCAGTCATATGAGAAGTCTTAAACGTATAAGAAGTATTGTTTATAAACAAAAATGATTATTTTGATTTTAGTGGTTCTAGCAGTGATTTTATTTCACTATATAAAACGCATATATTCATATTGGGAACATCAGAATTTTCCATATGATCAGAATAGTAAAATACCATACGGTTGTTTGGAATCCGTCGCTAAACATAAGAAGTCCATGGGTATGACAATGTATGATGTTTACTTAAGATCGAAAGAACGTTTTTTGGGTGTTTATTTATTATTCCGACCGGCGATTCTAGTACGTGATGTTAATTTAGTACGTCATATATTGGCAGAGGATTTTGCTAGTTTCCATGATCGTGGCATATATGTGGATGAAGAAAAGGATCCACTTTCAGCAAATATATTCTCATTAGAAGGCAAAAGTTGGCGTGATATGCGTATTAAGTTAGCACCACTTTTTACATCCGGAAAATTAAAGGCAATGTTCAGTACTTCAGAGGAAGTAGGTGATAGAATGATTGCCCATTTAAATACACTGATACCGGAAAAGAGTACTATGAAGATTGATTTAAAGGAAATTTTTACAACGTAAGTTTAGAATATTTTGTTATCATTTAATAATATGTAAATAATATTTTTGTTATTTTATAGTTATGCTATTGATATTATAGGCTCAACCATTTTTGGTTTGGATATCAATAGTTTCGAGAATCCTACTAACAAATTTAGAAATATAGTTCGTTTATCCCACAAAAATACACATCCTGCCGCAATTTTGGGTATGCTGTTATATTTGTTTCCATCGTAAGTAAACTGAAGTTGAAGTAGAAAATAGAATAATAAGAATATAACAAGTATGTCATAATACGAGTATATATATACTAACCTAATATCGTATGAACATAATTACATATTTGTAATACAATTAATTGAATATTATATATATTTACGAACAATTATTTCAGGTTGGTTAAATTTTTGTTCCGTAAATTTGGATTGAAGAATCCAGTGGCATTAGAAATGCTTAAAATAGTAAAGGACACTATCGAATATCGTGAAAAACATAATATTGTACGTAAGGACATGTTGCAGTTATTAATGCAATTAAAAAATACCGGTAAAATTGAGGAAGATGATAACTTCGATGCTAAAGTAACAAAGAAAGCAGGAAGTTTCATTGAAAATATTTCAATTGAAACCATAACAGCACAGGCGTTTGTATTTTACATTGCTGGTCAAGAATCTACAGCCTCAGCAGCTGCTTTAACTATCTTTGAACTCGCACAATATCCTGATATACTGAAAAAAGTTACCGAAGAGGTCAATAGAGTTTTAGCTGAAAATAATGGGAAAATTACTTACGAAACTTTGCAAAAAATGGAGTACCTAGAATTGTGCATTAATGGTAAGTTATTGATAATCATATTATATTCATAATATATCTTTATATTTTCTAGAAACTTTACGAAAGTATCCTAGCTTGCCA